GGGATCTTTGTGTCTCCAAAGCCTCACACAGTTCCTTGTACACAGTAAGTGCTTAATAAATGTCTGCTGGACTGAATACCACAAATTTCAAAGAATTAAAATTGCAAGTCACCTAAAGAACACTGAGGAGACATGGTAGGTGTGATTGGATTGTAGCAGAATACCAGCAGTGAATTTCATAGAAAAAGTGGCAATAACACTATCAGACACATATGACCAAAAAAGGAGACAGGTTAGTCATGCAGCAAAATAAGTGGTAATAGATAGTACCCACATGTTGCACTAGTACAGTACCATATCTATAGGAAAACCCTGAATCTCAAAACATTTGGGGTTGATACAGTGGATGACTTATGGGAAAACATTACAGGAATTACTCAGAATGAGTCCTAAATAGGTGTCAACCTTTCTGGTAGGAGCCAGTACCCACATGGAGGAAATCAAGATCCAATGAAACATTGTATCTCTTTGAAATGCCAACTCGATCACCTTTTAATTGCACCATAGAAGATTTTTGTGTGAGCTCAAATAATGCACGTGTTAGACCTCTTTGTTATTATTTCAAGATAAGCAAAACAAGTACAGCTAACATGGCTGTAGTTCTGTGATGCCCCTTGTTAGGTACTGAGGGTTCTTTGGTCCAGCAGGCAAGACACACATCAAGAATGGGCAGTGCCCATTCCCTACAGCATAGCCAATACCTGTTGCCCAGGGGTGCAACATCCCTTTACCTTGGGCTTGGGGTCCTTGGTTTCCTCATCTGTAAAATGGAAAAACTGGCCTAGCTATCCTCTAGGGTGCCTTCCAATTCTATATCTATGACTACGACTCTGTGAACTTTAAGTCTATACTGGGTAGTAACAGCCTATGAGAAACTCATCTCTAGACTGCTGTTTACAAGGTGATGAATCTTTTCACCCATAGCAACTCATAAACATAATTTACACATAAAGGTCATGATATGCACTGGGTGGTAACAATACTCATGCCAATGAACTCAGAGATTTTTGAAGTATTCAGTCACAAACTATTTCTTGCTAATGTCTCCTTATGTAACTTTTCCCTTTTCCTGCTCTTCCCACTAGAAATACCCTAAATCCAGCGCATCATCACTTTATGCATAGATTACAGTAGAGTCCCTTCAAGAGAGAATGGTATAAGATAAAGAGCACAGAATCTAGACCTAGAAAGCCTGGCTAAGTCACAGCCTCTTTGGAGAATAATTTCCTCCTATGTAAAACACGGGGGTAGGACTAGATGACATCTAAAGTCCCTTTTCCCTCCAATCTTCTGATAGAATTCAATGAAATTAATTTACAACACTTACTTGCAACACAACTTTCTTTGCATTTATTTTATTTTTCCCAATTATATGTAAAAACAATTTTTAACATTCATTTTTTAAAATTTTGAGTTCCAAATTCCCTTCCTTCCTCTCCCATCCCCCCCCACACCTTGAGACGGCAAGCAATTTGATATAGGTTATACACAACATAACTTCTACTCAAGAAATTATGTTTTACTACTGTCCAAAAGTTTAAACTCCTAAGCCTATCATTTCTAACTCTTCATCAACTGCATCTTCCTCACTTCTTCCATCTTAACTTCTACTATTTCCAAAAGAAATCTTCCACTCCAGCTACGTCATAAACAAGTCCACTCCTTTCTTCAGAGCTCACCTTGGAGAATCCAAATAACAGAATTCCTTCCAGGGCCATTTTAAGTTTCATTTCCTCTACCACAAAATCTTCTTGATAATTCTAATCAGTTCATACTGATTTTTCTACTCTATGAATTCCTGTGACCCTTATCTGTATGTACCACAATATCATTTACTAGTGTGCAATTTTTTTCTCCAACTGTTTCCAATACAAAGGTCTTTCCTTAGTAAAAGCCAAATTCTGCTTACACAAGGGGGAGTATGGGACAGTGGAAATAGAATACCTTTGTAATCTCAGACAAATCACAACCTTAAGGAGAGTCTGTTTGTTCATAAAATAATGCTTTAGAAACAGAATTAAATAAGAATCTCAGTTCTCATAGTACACACGCCATATTCCTAAGAGAGGAGATGCAGGTATAACCTATCCTCAGCACTTAGCACAGTGGCTTGATCATATTAAGTGCTTAACAAATGCTTGCTAACTGTTGAATGACCAAGTATAATAAAGGAAAAAAAAAAAACAACAGTTTAGAGTCAAGCACAATGAACTCCCAAAAGGCTGTCTTCTGTGTATGATGATAACCTAACCTGTATCAGCAGGGTACACTTTAAATTATTTTCCTAGTTGTAATGATGAATTTGCAATTATTTAGGCGCATACTATTGCACAGATACCATAGTGATGGATTAACACATAGCTTAAAAACCGATGACTACTGAGGTTAAGGGTACAGTTTCTGTCCATGAAAAATGGAGATTCTGCTTAATACCATAACCAAGCTAATCCACCATACAGCAATGGTTCATAAAACTCACTTTAAGTAAATTCACAGTACCTAGTCACCTTTCTGCCTTATCTAAGAAAAAGCTGCAATGTGCCTTATATCAAATAGAAATGCCGTAGTGAACTATCCTTACATTTTTATTCCACTAGAATATTATTACCTCCTTCAGAGTAAAGTCCTACCCTGATGCCTCATCCTGTTATTGGAGGTGACCCTGAATTCTCAGAGGCTTTGCCAGAAGAGTTCAAGCTCTGGCAAGCTCTTCGGAGGCAGGAAGGTTTTGCAAATGAGCCTGGGGATGGAAAACCTAAGAAATCAGTCTAGCTGGCTAAGTTCAAAGGGACCTATCATCAGGGTGCCCAGAAAGTCATGAATTTTATTTGGCCATAGCAATTCATTAAGACTTAAATGTGGAGAGGTTTGCAATCTCACAACCTATATAAATGAAACTTTAAAAAAAAATATAGTATCAAAAATTTTAATTTCTAAAAAGAGACAAAAAGAAGCATATCAATAGGTCAGACATATTTTTGACAATGAGAATTTAGGTATAATTCTACTGAAAAGCTGTGAGATTAGACATCAATATGATTGGCTTCTTCAAAATCCAAGTATCTCCAAATCTATGAGGCTTCATGGTACAGTATGCCAGTGGTTTCCAACTTTTGTTTTATTTGGCATCATACTAAACTGTAGTATATTTTTAAAAACAATGTTATTTTCATAACTTTATGGTTGACAGCCAGTTGATATTTTAAACTAATCTCCCATGCTATTTTTCCCTTCTCATAGCCCAAATAACTTCTCTCCTATTTGGCTACCACTTACTGCTCTTCTCTAAGAAAATTCTTTTTCAAACCATCAGCAAATCCTTGCCTTCCAGGGCCACCACCACCAATTTCTACTTCCTAGGAACATCTTTATGCTTGAAATACACAAAGTAAATCTTCATGGTTTATCCAGACTTCCCTTTGGGAAGCAATATTTAAGTTATCAAGGATATGGACTTATACTGTAAACACAAAATCTACATACATTTCTAGGCAAAATTTCCACTCTTGAAAGGATGGCTCTTCTCTAAATTAATCCTAATAAAATAGGGGTGGGGAACCTGTGGCCTCCAGGCCCCACATGGCCCTCGAGGTCCTCAAGTGCAGCCTTTTGACTGAGTCCAGTTTTTGGTTTTTTTGGGGGGGTGGGGTGGGCAATGGGGGTTAAGTGACTTGCTCAGGGTCACACAACTAGTAAGTGTTATGTGTCTGCATTTGAACTCGGTCCTCCTGAATCCACAGCCAGTGCTCTATCTGCTTTGCCACCTAGCTGCCCCGAGTCCAAATTTCACAGAACAAATCTCCTTAATAAAAGAATTTCATTATAATATCCCCTTAATAATAATAATAAATCACCCTAATAAAAGGAATTCATTCTCCTTAATACAAGGATTTGTTCTGTAAAACTTGGAGTCAGTCAAAAGGTCACACTTGAGAACCTAGAGGACCACAAGGGGACTCGAGGCCACAGGGTCCCCATCCCTGTAACAAAACATTAGTATATTTCCATTAGTGTTGGTTCAATAAAAGGATGCTATGTTACCTTCAGAGTTGTCTCTATCAAAAATTACAAAGGACCTGCCTGCTGCCAACAGCCTTTGAAAAACAGGTGGTAACACACTTCCTAGAAAAAGGTGAAGTCTGCAGGCAATAAAACTTCAACAGGGCAATCTCTAAACTTCAGCTAAAACTAACTAACAATGAAACAAATAAATTACTAATGCTTGAAGATATAGGCCTACATAAATTTTCTAACCTAAACAACATATTGCTAAAATTTCTGCATACCTACTGGAGCAAAAGGATGGCCAAATTTAAAACTGTCCCGTGTCTAGCAGGTTTAGGAACATGCTACTTACCAAAGGAAGATTATTTCCTTTATGCCTAAATACAGAAGGGAGAGGGAATGGGAAGAAGGTGGAACTTTCCTGTTAGCCGTGGGCTAGAGATTATTTTCCAATACTTGCTTTAGAGGGCAGAACAATTAAGCCAGTCAGAAAATTCCAGACTCGAGTTACAGTGAGACGTCAGGATGGCCGGCCAGCATGGGGAAAACCAAACCGTTTTTGTTCAACACATTCAATAAATTAAGCAGAAGGTTTGGCTGAATTTGCTATCGTACTACCTAGACAAACACTCCCAACTGATTACAACCACCTACGGAGAGGAAAAGGTCGGCAAAACATCAGGCAAGAAAAACCATTAAGTTATGGAGCTTGATGACGAGTGTCTGGGAAAGTGCCCTGCGCCACTCGCCCGCCTGCCCCGTGGGCCAAGGAGAAAGGGCGGTGACCGGCCACGCACCGGGCTAGGCAGGGGAAGGCAAGGGCCCTCTCCCTCCTTCTAGGAGCCGAGCAGCCGTCCTCACACCTCCACACGCGGCGGCCCCACGACCCCGCCCTGGCCGCTGACCACGGCGCCTCACTACAGACGCTGAGGCGGCGGTCCGGAGAAGGGAAACAGCCGCTTCTCCGGGCGCCTCCTTCCCGCCTCGGCACTCACCCAGCGGGTGCGGGCGGCGGCGGCGGCGGCGGGGGCTGCGAACGCGGAGGCTGCCCCGGGCCTGCCTGGCTCTGGAGCACCGTCTCTTCCTCCTCTTCCTCCCCGCCGGAGGAACAGCTGCTGCTACCGCTGCTACCGCTGCTGCCGCTGCCGATGCTGCTGCTACCGCTGCTGCAGCAACTGCTACCGCTGCCCGTATCGGTCGCGTCCGAGTCGCAGTCCCGCTGCACAGCCCGAAGTAGGGCGGTGGCGCTGCCCACCAGTCGCTGAAGCTCCGCAGCCCTGGCCGAGGGCGGGGGCGCCGGCGGCGAGGGCGGCTCGGCCCCGGGGGCCAGGTGCCGCCAGAGGCCGGCCAGCTGCTGTCGGACATGCCGCTCCACCTGCCGAGCCCGAACCACCTGCAGCCGACGGCACAGCCTCCGCGCCCGGCCCCACAGCGCTGCCTGCCGGCCCCTCAGCGCCGCCGCCTCTTCCTCCAGAGACGGCTGCCGCTCGGGCCCAAGATCTCGGCGGCGGCCGCCTGCCTCCGGCCTCCACAGCAAGTCATGGGCACGGGGCCCGGCCGCCGCAGAAGCTGCGGTGGCTTCGGTCAGAGCCGGGGCCATGGCTGAGGAGGTGGCCGCCATGCGGGTCTTCGGGGAGGGAGGGCAGATCGTCTTTTCCTTCCCCTGTGGCCCGGCTCCTTAGTGCGGGCGGCCCGGAGCCGGCCGCCCCATCTGGCCGAGGCGCAGAGGCGGCGCGCCGGATCCCGTCTCCGATCCTTCCCCTCAGCCACATAAGCAACCTCAGCAGCAGGGGCGGCGGTGGGTGGCGGCAGCAAAGGCTAGAAGCCGCCTCTCCCCCGCCCTCACCCTTACGGCCGGGTACGGGGCGGGGCGGGGGGGGCGGGAGGGAGAACCACGGGGCAGAGGGAGGGGAAGAGGAGGAGGACCAACAATACTCCATTCACTCCCCACCCACCCCGGCACTAACCCTCTCCTCCAGCGCGCTACGAGCTCCGGTCGCACGCGCCACTCATGCGCGTCCCCGTGCCAGACCTCGGCTCAAATACCAAGCCCGCCCTGGCGCGCCCCTGGAACTGGATTGGACGCGCATTTCCCTCGGGTTCAGGAAATAAAGGCCATTCAGAGGGCGGAGAGAGGCCTTCATTAGACAGGGGATGAAGCGCGGGAACCAATCCAACGCGGCCCCGGTCTACCTCCACCTCTCAATGATCTTCAGAGGCCTGGGGCAAAAGGTAGAACCTCCGCAGCTAGTACCCCGAAGGGCAGTAGTTCCAACCCCAAGCGTCAATTTCTAGAAGGAGGAAGAGGGTGATAAATAACTCTCCGAGTGTTCAGACCCCACGAGAATGCAGCTTCTACTGGGATTAATTCAGCACTGCACCCTTTAGTCTCGCACGTCAGACTCCCTGGCACCACTAACACAACAGGATATTGCGTAAAGCCCAGTTTTGTGTGATAACATACTACTGACCCTACGGATAGAATGACAGTAAAAAGGTTGTGCTTTCGGAGTGAGTTTTGCCCTGATAAAGTTGGAATCTAAGAAGAAATCAACAGACATCTGCTTAAAGCTGCAAAAGAATTTGCTTTTAAATTGTAGCTAAAAGGAACTGCTAGACTTAACGAGTCCCTTCTCCATAAAAGAATACACGCCCAGAAATCTAGTCAAAATAGTTTGGATTTCCTATTAAGATTGAGCAGACAAAATTCCTGGGTGGGAGGAAGAGGAGACCTCTCATCAGGAAAACCTGAAATTTATAGATAATAAAGTTGAAGGCTGATGCTAAAAGTATTGTTTTAAAATTCTGACCACAAGTCTTATGTTACTTAAGACAGATAACTTAAACATTAAAAATCAATTTCCCTAAAAAGAAAATATTAGACTGGTGCTAAAAATTACAAAAGCAACACAATGCTCTTTTACGCAATTTCAAAATTCTGTACTTTGTAATGAAAACCATTCCAATGTTTTTAGATTTTTCACCACAAATGATAGTAGTGAATCTTACTATCCCAGATTCAAATAATCAAGTGTGAAATGCATAAAGTTTGAAAATATTCTTAATATGACCCTCCAAAAAAAAGGAACAGATTTACAAACACCTCTGGTACAGACACCAAGGTCTAAATTACCAGGGGCAGCTAGGTTACGCAGTGGATCGAGTTCTAGCTTTGAAGTCAAGAGGACCTGAGTTCAAATTTGACCTCAGACACTTGACACTTAACTAGCTGTGTGACCTTGGGCAAGTCACTTAACCTCACTGCCTAGCAAAAATAAATAAATTACCAGGGAACCAAACTCTCAGAATAGTGCCCTGGCCAGAGATATATCACTCCTGAAACAAGTGTGGGTTACAGATAACTGAAAGATGGATAACAGTTTCCAATGTACTAAGATTTCCTTTTTTATGGCAGATTAAAAAATAACTAACTATAGTCTAAGTGCCATTTGATGGTGTTATTTTTCATTCATCACTGCCACCATCATATATAAAAAACAATACAGAGTTTATGCATTTTTTAAATGCAACAAACATCACAGAAGCCAGTTTTAATTAAATTTATCTTAAAAGCAGAAAGTTTGAATCAACAAATATAGGTTTTGGAAGGAAGGGAGAAAGGAGGCCTGAACCTGTGATTTCATTGCTAAAGGAAGCTCCCAATGACAAAATCCCCTTTACCAAGATATACCTAAATATGCTCAGGAAACACACTCTGAAACCAACTCACGACCACAAACTGCCCCTCCAACCCCCAATACAAATATGATCTAATATTTTAAAAAGCATAAAAATTATACAGACATCATATCATATCTATCAATCTATCTAATAAGTATGGAATCAAAGAAAGGACAAATTAGCAAGCAGCATAGTTTTCTTATAACAGAAATGCTACTGACTGAAGATTTAGGGCTTGGTAACGCATGATCAGCAACAGTAGTTGGGCACAGAGTAAAGTGGGAAGTGAAGGGAATGTGGCAAGTGCTCAGATGATGGACTAGGAAAGAACTGAGGGGTAGAGGGATTAGATGTAACAGTGAGGATGCAGAACAGGGTTAAGTATCATAAGGCATAAAGAAAGGTGGTATAAAAAAAAAGATTATGATCAGACAAAGGAATCTCAGAATTCATGATCACAAAAGTGATATGGACAAGATCAAGGTTATGACTGTTTTTGTGTATAGGTGACAAGGAGTGGAGGACTCAGTTATGGGGAATGAATAAATTGAGGAACTGGGAAGTTACTATATTTGAGTATCAGTCTATGTTTAAGTGTCCTAGCATGAAGGCAGGAGTTGGGGAGGACAGAATGACAATGTGAGCATGGCACTTTGTCCCTACAATTAGTTTTTCATAAACTATTTGACACAACCCTTTTCCCACTAACTTTCTTCTCCTTCCTACCTCCCATTTCCTTTCCCAAGTTTTAGGATTTTACTTTAAATTATTGATTTTTTAAATTTAGTTATTTACTTCCCTTCTTTATTCTCTTCTTTTTCCTTCCTCAGTTATGTGATTAATTCAAAATCTCCCTCCCCACACACCCAAACTTCTCTTGTTAGTTATTTTTTCTGTGACTTTTTTGAAAAATTGCTTTGGTCTATTCATTAATTCTTTTCACTCCCTATTTTAGAATTTTATTCTCTGATCTGTGATCTAATCTTTACTTATTCCTTCTTTAATTTATATTACACATGGAGTTAAAACTTCTGAAATACCAAGTTTTAAATTCCTTGTTGAACCAGTTTTTACATTATGATCTTCACAGATGCAGTCTCATTGTCCCTTTTGTCTGTTGGTCCTTACTCTTTTAAGTGTCAATTTATGAGGCAAGTAAAGTGTATGGAAGCAGTGCCTCACAGTAGAAATTACCTGTGTCCAAATCACATGGTCCAATTTTACCTCTCACATGATTGTTCTCTTGCCCATTGACCAAGTCATGTTATGTCTGGGTCCATGGCCCTCTCTGACCATTGCACCCACCTTTTTGGATTCCAGTTCTCCCACCCTATGCTTAAAGATAGGCAAAGAGACAGAAATATACTTACTTACTGATGACATGATAGTTTACTTAGAAAATCCTAGCAACTGAGATAACTAATAATTTCAGTAATTAGGCTACAAAATAAACCCACTAAAATCAATAACATTTTTATGCAGTTATAACAAAATTCAGATAGAAGGAAAGTCACATTCAAAATAACTACAAAATTAATAAAATATCTGGGAGTGACTCTACCAAAGCATATTCAAAACCTGTATGGTTATAATTTTAAAGTGATTCCTCTGTTTTCCTATTGAAGCTCTCAAATCGTTATACAAGTAATTGTAAATATGCAAGAGGTGAATTAACATGGCAATGAAACTACTCATTCTGGAAGATTATAATTTATACTCAAATTATATTTGCCGTTTTCACAGGTCAAGCTAGAATTGAAATTGTATTTGTTTTCCTATATTTCTTTTGGCCAAAAGATGGATATGACATCTAATAAAAATTTTCAGGACTTATTGTAAATCAACAGCAATGTTTAATAACAAAATTAATAAATGAAATTTCACCATTTGAAAAAGAAACCTATTTTGAGGAGGAAAGGGATTTCTAATTCACCTTTGTCCTTGATGAAAAAAAAATTATTTTTCACCAGAAGCTTCAAAAACCAATGAACTCTCCTAAGGTCCTCCAATTTCTGACACAATATAACAATCATTCACAATCCAAAGAGACCTAAATAATTAGAAAGCCACCTACAACAATTTACATAATCATATAAACCTAGAGAATAGAGCTGCTGAATAAATTAAATTGATTTGGCTACTTCAATTTTAGAATTCCACTCGACCTAATTTTTTACTGAAGAAACTTTACCTCTAAGCCTTGAGAAATTTTATTTTAACTTGAAAAGACCATCTTCCCAGATCAAGATTCCTTTTTACCTGTTTAGGGAAAGGAATACTTCCAAGGCTCTACTTGGAGAAGCTTCAGTCAGGAAGGGTGGGAAAGGAAGTAGTATGAAAAAAGAAAAAAAATGTACTTCCTTCTCTGGCAGTCTTTAAAGCATAAGTCTGATTGATGTAGCTGAAAAAAGCTCCCCCAAATTACAGCACATCAGTCAAATGAGAAATTAGCTTTCTCTGTTTACCTTTGGAGAAAAAATTCTTTTAGGTCTACTACAGTTCTGAAAGTTTAGATTTATCTATAAGAAGACCTAATGTTTTATAGAACTTTAAAGTTTATAAATCACTTTATATACATTATGCCATATGATTTTCTATGTTTCTTCTATCATATATCTTTCCTACAATCATCTAATTAGAGGAGAAAAGTAAAATTTACAGAAAAATATTCCATTCTGTTGTAGTCAACTCTCTCCTACTAAGGTCTATTGCATCTTGGTGGTTCAACAAAATACCTTTTCTCACTTGGTTTAATAGAGGAAAGCAACTGGTTATATGGTTGTACAAAGTATTTTTAAAATAACTACTTCCTTCCATTAGTACAGATACTAAAGGGAATGTTACTTTTACCACAAAATTCTGTCTTACTTTTAAAATGAAAACGAATTCAGAAGTGTTGTAGTTTGTCCTGAAAAACCCTTTCTTGTTTTTCTGCTGTCAACTGAAAAAATGAAAAGCTGTACCTCTATATTATCAGGCACCATCTTTTCTTCCTGCCCAATCCTCTATGGTACTTATACAACACAAAT